TCATAGAATCTTGATGCAGCCTTATAGAAGGTCATAGAATCTTGACACACTTCTATAGATTGTCATAGAATCTTGATGCAGCAGTATAGAATGTCATAGATCCCATTAAAAAAAAAAATTCTAGTTAAAATTGTTAATCTTATTGGCAGTATGTTTGTTAGCACTGTTTTTTTTTTAGCTGTAGCTAGACATTTTTAGTCACATACAAATTGACTCAATGTATATTATGAATTGAAATTCCCACATTGTGCCTCATACAGTTGTACAAAATGGACGCCAGGTGCGGTTATAGTTTGGCGTCGAGACAAATTTTTTGCTTCTGCCGTACGGTGGCCGTTGCATTTTGATCCATTTGTAGACCGAAAGGATACAGTTTCGTCGCGCTAGCTACTGAGTTAAGTGCAAAACGCGACTCTGTGAGCTGCGGATTTTATTTGGAATATTTTTCGACTGTGGCCAACGTGGTGTTGTGAACTGTAGATTCAGAAAATCGTGCGTGGCCTGTCGCCGCAATATTGGTGGTGCCTTTATGTGATTAATATTGATCGTGTGCGCAACTGCTGATCTGTTGGCGACTTCTGCTACCGTCGATGATGAACTGCATTTCTAATGTCAAACTGTTCGTGTTAGCACTTCTGATGGCTACCGTATGCTTTTAATGCGTGTGTATGCTAGTGCATATGCTGAGACAGCAGTCTGTCAATCTTTCCACAAGGGACTGCGACGAACATTCTGTGTGTTTTTTCGTTGGCACAGGAGCGGAGCAACTATGGGGTGACTCGTTTGCTATAAAGCTGAAACTAAGATTACCAAAATTACCAAGATTACAGTTGTACATTTCAGTAATTAATTAATTAATTCTGTAAGGCTGCATTATAGATTTTCTGTTAATGAATGTTATTTTCTTGTGACTAATTACAGTTCCCACAAATAAAACTTTATTTTTTTTTTATGTGCATATTTGTTAGCTTATTTGTCACTCTTTTTTTTTTTTCGTATAGAAAAACTTGCCCATTGTTTTCTTATTTTTTTTATCATTAACTGTAACCACAGAAAGTGAAGACAGAATCACATTGTTAACATTAGAGTTGAAAGACAGCAAATCCCATTTGCTAACATTAGAGTTGGAAGACAGCAAATCCCATTGTTAACATTAGAGTTGGAAGACAGCAAATCCCATTGTTAACATTAGAGTTGGAAGACAGCAAATCCCATTGTTAACATTAGAGTTGGAAGACAGCAAATCCCATTGTTAACATTAGATTTGGAAGACAGCTAATCCCATTGTTAACATTAGATTTGGAAGACAGCAAATCCCATTCACTTGTAAATGTACTGGAAAGGTGTTTAACAGAAAAGGTATTTAGTGCCTTGAATTTTATATATATAAGGTCAAAGATTTTATCTCTTGGGTTCATCTGGGTGAAGATTCGACAGCCCAGCATTCAGGACAAGCCCATATTAGCTTCCTGTCCCCGAACAGCCAGCGAAGAATCTTCATACTCATAGTACACATCATCTTTTATCTCTAGGGGAAGTGGAGCCAAGACTCATTGAATTCTGAGGAGTTGTCATATTAAAAACCTAATCCCCTGGATCCTCAGGATTTGAAATCATCACACCAGTAGACGGATGGGGGTCAAATTGACTGCCGGGACACAGTTAACTTTTTGCCCCAAAACTCTTCAGAGAAATAAGGCCAGAACCTGGGAATCACCCCCAACAACCAAATATTTGAAATGAAACATAGAAGCAGTCAGCTTCACAGTATCACAAAACACAAACAACAGGTGAGCTGTCATGTCTAGAGAACCGTCATAAGCACATTGCCTAAACCTCCAATACCACAGGTATGGAAAGGAATACACAAAAATCACTCAACCTGACATATCTCCTATAGAAATCACATTTGTGTGTGTGTCTGGCCAGTAGAAAGTCTGAAAAGTGTGTAGCAACCATAAATAAATACTGGCAACAAAAAACCTTGAGTGACCAGGGTCGTAGCTCAAGGATATTAGTCTCTAAACAACAATGTTCACTAACAAATGTTTTTAAAAATTCATTTATGTCTATCTATCAGTGGTAACTAATGAGGAGAACAAAATGTTTATCAGTGGTTAATTTTTTTTAAAGAAGAGCGTGGAGATGGTTTGGTCATGTTTGCAAAATGCCCTCATGACATTTTGGCAAGGAGAGCTATACAATGGACAGCAGATGGGGAAAAGGAAAATGATCAGCCTAAGGAAACCACAAGGAGAGATTTAAACAAAAAAAAAAAAAAGTAATGTAAACTGATACAGGATACCATGGACAGAAGAGCAGCAGACTAGCAACAGTGATCATTTGTGGGTGCCTTATGTGTCAGTAATGACATGAAGTATATACTGGTATAGCCTCAGTAATGACATGAAGTATATACTGGTATAGATGGTTATAGCCATCCTAACATCCTTCTCATGTCTGTAATATAGTTCCTTTGTATCGCGGAGTATTTGATCTTTCTGTAGGTTCTAGGGTTCCATTGGGGGGGGGGGGGGGGGGGGGGGGGGGGGGGGGGGGGGGGGGGGGGGAGGGGGGGGGGGGGGGGGTATAAACACTGCTCCTTAACAAGCATGTTATAAAAGGTTGCTAATTGGGGTTTTGCTGAAATTGGATTTGTTTGACTGATGGGCGCAGATATCACAGCCTAGTTGTAAACTACAACACTGCCAACCACTCTTTTAGTGATAAACACAGAACATGCTTAGGACATTTACCATGAGCTTCACAATTGGTCTTAACAAGTCTTCCCTTAATTTTGGGGAAACGAATGCTTAAGTTATGTTCTTCATTTAGCTGGATGTAAAGAAAAAAGAAAAAAATTTCATAAATTAGTTGAAAGTTCTTATTGATTCAGACATTTTTTGAAGAAAGTCTGTTAAAATAGTTTAAAATTTCAGGTTTGTTTTGTTGATGGGCAAGTTTGGCACTGTGTATTCCATATTTTTTCATGTTTATTTTAAGCACTTCTACATGAACAGTTTTATACCCAGTTACATTGTTAGAAAGCTCATATTGAATTACTGGAAAGCTTTAAAACTTTTATGTAATAGAAATTGCAAAACATTTGTAAGACTTTGGCATGCGGAGTTTATTAATTATTTGTTACAAATTTGTGGCTGATTTCTCTTAACCAACTGCCAAACTGATTAAAGTAAATAATAATTGAATACATAACTAATTAACTCTCATGATTATTATTATCACCTAATTACTTTAGTGTATCCTGTTATTTCTAAGGGCATAACGAGAACTGATGATGATGTTATTTCTAAGCATGTGTCTTGTTATGACCATGTTTTATTATGTTTTTATAGTACATCACACTCACAGGCAAACAAAGTAATTCAGAATTAGTCATCTAATGTATGTGGTTGTAAACAACTGGTTTCTGTGGTAGTAGATGGATATGAAACACACATAGTTATTTTGTATTACAAAGTGAATAATATTTTATAGTCACATATCTTACTAAAAATCAACTGCCTCTATCAAAGACCACTAGCAAACACAAACACTGCATGGTGCATGATTGAATAATCATGTTCTGATGTTAACCTGTATTTTGATGTGCCAGAAAAGCATGTGTTTGGCTTGCATGATTACTGAACAAGTCTTGACTCCCTGGCATTGGTCATTTAAATGCCCTGTGTTGCTATTTGCATTATGAAATTCTGAGAAACAAATTAATCCCTGTTAGTGTTTTTACATACAGCAGTTTTGTACGCCGTAGACAATTGTTATGATAAATACATAAACCATACAAATGGACACATTGCTTATTTTCTTTTATTCATGTCTTAGAATAACATATTAACAGATGTACATGAGTTCTGTGGAGAACAAGTTTGTATAAACATTCTAGTTATTCCTTCGCAGATTAAAATCAATATTTATTATCTTTCAGTACTGGGGGAGCCGCTGTGGTACAGCAGCTTGATTCTTACCTGTGGTAAGGGTGTAGGTTCAGATCCAAACGGAGCCAGACTTATTCTTGGCTCCCAAGTCGACTCAGTCTTAAATAGGAACCAGGTAGAGTCCTGGAAAGTAAAGACAACCAGCATGATATTGACCACATTACCCACTGAGTGATGATTGGTCTGTTAAATATAGGTCTAGCCCTATATGCCTTAGGGACTTCAAGAGGGTCTTTTTATCATTACTGGGAGTTACTAAAAGTGATTTTATCAAAACTTTAAAAAAAAAAATTATTGTATCTAGAATGTTATTTTACTGAATAAAATCACTTTCATGCTGTCTAAGGAAATTTCTTCCTAGATGAGGAAATTATCACTTAAAAGGTAATGTCGCGAGATGTGAACCAGTGTCATTGCACACGATTATAAACCGTAAGTGCTCTGCCACCAGTACGGACAGCTGAAAAAAAACCTTCCGCCTGTGTCGCCGTCCGCACGCAACTCAGTAGCTACAGCGGCGTTCCTCCATTTGAAAAATCACTTGCTAAACATGAGTATATTTTATTTGTTCTCACAGAACTAATGTACAGTGTAATGTTAGTGTTTTGTCTTTTAACAATCTATTATATGTTTAGAGTTAGGAATGGAGTCAGTATATAGTTATATGTTAGTACAAGAAAGTCTAATACAAGTACATATAATGTAATTACTATGTAACAGAAACACATATATGTGTAGGCAAGACACTCACTCATTGATATGGTGGTGGGGTTTGCATCAGAAACTAATTCTTTCAAGACAGACAATTTGTTTCAGTTGTTGACATTGTCCATTTTATAATTTTACTTACTTTCTTCTTTCCCTTCTCTTCTGTCTGCCCTATCTTGTTTTTGTCCCTTCCCCACTGGAAATTGTTGTGGGCAAACACATAACCACCCATTTAACTTGGGTGTGTGTTTGATGGCTTGTTGTTGCCCTCATCAATTTGCCAACAAACTGTACAAGGCCTTGAAACAATACGCGAAGGAAGAAGATCTTTTATAGGAACCACATCAACATCCACGGTGTCCACGGCTGCACAACACCACCAGCGCCCTACGAATGTTCCTGGGATGGGATCATCCATGACCCGGACCTCGATGACCGCCAGCATGCCCAGCCCAGTCAAGATGAGGGAGAATAAAATGATCCGAAAGCAGCGGCCAGCCAGTGTGGCTTCTTCTATGCCCAGTTTCGTAGGCGGGGAGCCTGCTAAGTCGCCTCGCAGCAAGAGCACTGACCGAACTGGCAGAGGTAGATAGATAACTGAGCTTGTTTCTGATTGGAGTTTGGTTTCATTTGCTTATGGTTTGGTTATTTTGTTTCTGTGTTGGGGGGGGGGGGGGGGGGGGGGGGGGGGGGGGGGGGGGGGGGGGGGGACATTTTTTGAGTTTGTTTTTATTAAAGATACATTTTGTTGATTCTTTTTCATCGTTCATCACACTTCTGTGTGAGTTTTTGAGCCTCACAATCAACACACTGTCCTCAAACAAGCATATTGCAAAAGGTAACAAATTAGAAGTTTACTGAAATGGGCTATGTTGGGCTGAAAAGAACAGGTTATGCTGCCTAGCTATAAACCACACACAGGATCCCTTGTGTGGGTGAATGAAGATATCTCTCCTTGTGGGTTCCTGGTCCCCTTTGTGGGGGAAACAAGAATAGACCCATTACCCCCCACCTCCCCCTTTTATTTTCACCCCACCCCCTCCAACAAGCATGTCATAAGAGTCTACTAATTGGGGGCTTCCTTCAAAGTCGGAATGCATCCGCCCGGTAAAAGAGATGCAAAACTCAGAACCTGGCACAAAGTCCAAATGGATGAACATCTAGGACTTTCCACCGGAATGAAGAAGAAGAAGATATCACACTGAAATTAGGACAAAATAAAAACACTGTATATCAACTTGCTAGGGCCATCATCAGTTTCATGTTGCAGGTTCTTTGTAGAACATCAGTAACCAAAGCTCGCTCTGGATCATTTGTCAGTTCTCTTGCCGTGGGCAATTTCATGGCCAGGTTGTCATCAATGCAGTTTGTCTGCCATTGTGTTGGTCACACCCTGCCTCTTTTTTACAGTAACTCTGCCTTCTTTTTCTTCTCCTTCTTTGGATTCATTAGCTGTAAACTGCGGCGAGAAATTCTATGTTCTTCCACTTCTGGACTTTTAGTTTTGTTCCAGAACTTGACTGTTGTATGCACATGTTTTACAGATCTGGATTATTTGTGAGCAGACTGTTGGTTCTTTGCATTTCAGGCAGATGCATTTTGACTTTGAATGAAACAATGAGCCCCTCCCTGGGCCCGGGCACCCACACAGTTAACTCTGCCTTCTATTACTATTCTTTATAAACTGCTGACATTCTGCAAGCTGTTTCATTTTAGAATGACAACTGTTTTTTTCCTTCACTAATTTTCTATCAGTCATATGTTGTCTTCATAATGAAGGTTGGGCTGTAATGGATCTCCACTATGGTCTGTCCCTCACCCTGGATGTTCACAGTCTTAGACTGCTATTTGTTCATCTCTTGATGTTGCCCTCCCACTTATATCAGTGTCTGCCTCTTGTTCACTCGCTTTCAGCTGTCCCTCAATGTATGGTTTTTATAAGAATGTTGTGTATTTTAATACCGCAAAAATGTTTTGCTTGTCTCTTTTACATTTCTGTCATCAACTCTCTTGTCATTTAATCTCCTCAGAGCCTCTGAATTAAAAAAAAAAAAAAAGCTAAACACCACCTGTTCTTATAAATCTCCAGAGATTTGATACTATTTGCTCATGTTCTCACATGATATAATATTTTCTTTATGTCGGAGATACTTACGTTATATCTTTTGCCATCATTAATGTAATTTGTCTCCGGAAAATTACCTAGGCAGCGCCATGTTACTGCTCATCAAGTTTTGCACATGTCATATGTCATCAGTAGACCTACAGTCTGTCATTACACTGGCTCCATTCTCTTGAAAACGAAATACCTTCCTGCCCATTATTTCTTATTTCTCCCTGCCACATTTCAGTGATGTTCTTTCACACATCACTGCTTCTGATGATGTGGGGGGGGGGGGGGGGGGGGGGGGTGTTTCCTCACCTTTCTCATACCCATTTTTGTCCTGCGATTGACACATTCTGTTTTAGTTTACAGCTAGGCTGTGATATCTGCTCCTTTCGACCAACACATTGAATTTCAGTAAACAACCCTAAGTTAGTAGCCTTTTATGGCATGCTTGTTAAAGAGCAGTGGGTTTATTCTTTTGTCACCCACAAATGGGAACCCAGCAACCACACACAGAATTCTCTGTCTTTTCATGATTCTTTCTTTCTTTTTACTGATCCTTTCTTTTCCTACTGATTTTTTTTTAAACACAAACTAGGGTATAGTATTTTAAGCTTTGGATGGGGCTTCAGACTTACTAATTTAACATTAGAAAAATTGGATAGTTGCAGTTTGTTGTTGTTGGTTTTGCTTCTAACATTATTATTCAATGCAAGTAACTAATTTTTACTAACAACATTTTAGGATCATGTAAGTGTGTAATTAACATATCCAACTTGTAATTAGATGAATAATAAAACTAAAACCCTAATATTTATAATGAAGATTTATTGTGTGGCCACATATGAATACATACAGCCTTTGGTTTTAAAAATCTGGGTTCAGCTCCATAAAGTGGCATCGCTCAGTACACAAATTATCATGAAAAGGTTGACCTAACCTAGAATTAGAATTAGTCAGTAAATGACAGCATCAATGTTGCAGCTCGAAACCCTTCATCAGCATACAAGACACACAGACAGTGATACTGCCACATAAAAGAATGCATAAAATAACTGGTGAAATAAGTAAAAATATTCACCAACCCTTGGAAAAGAAAGGTTTTATTAAAGAATGTATAAAATAATAGCATTTTTGTGAAATCGATAAAACTATTCACTCACATTTGAAAATAAAAAATAAAACTTTATAAAAGAGTACTAATATCAATTTGTGGTTAAAAAACTATACATACACAAACAAATGTTGGCTGCAGTGCATCCTCACAAGTTGCCACAGACACACAATGGACAGGAAGTGACCTGAGAGGTAGGATAGGCAAGGCGGGTAGTGAAAGATTGTGGTCAAAGGAAGTAATGTGAAAAATATTGGAGTAAATTTTATATATATATATATATATATTCTCTGTTAACTTGTCAGATATGACTGAATTAGCGTATAACAGTAACTGCTACTACCTGTTCTCTGTTAACTTGTCAGAAATGACTGAATTAGCGTATAACAGTAACTGCTACTACCTGTTCTCTGTTAGATTGTCAGATATGACTGAATTAGCGTATGACAGTAACTGCTACTACCTGTTCTCTGTTAAATTGTCAGACTGAATTAGCGCATAACAGTAACTGCTACCGTCTGTTAACTTGTCAGATATGACTGAATTAGCGTATAACAGTAACTGCTACCGTCTGTTAACTTGTCAGATATGACTGAATTAGCGTATAACAGTAACTGCTACTACCTGTTCTCTGTTAGATTGTCAGATATGACTGAATTATCGTATAACAGTAACTGCTACTACCTGTTCTCTGTTAGATTGTCAGATATGACTGAATTAGTGTATAACAGTAACTGCTACTACCTGTTCTGTGTTAACTTGTCAGAAAAAACTGAAAACTTATGACAGGGCAGACCAGGCCATTAGCTGTAGCTGGCAGCTGGTCTAGTAGGAAAGCTCAGACATGCAGACTGACAACAACAAAAACTGCTCTTCTGATCTGGCAGCTTCTTCCGCATGTTCCAAATGTATTGGTGTTTCGTTTAGACAGTCACACTCACTATCGCCGTGGGCAGTGATTTATGTCTAAGTCACTAATAAAAATCTGCCTCTGTGCAGATGTGAACCGAAGACTTTGTTTTCAGAGAATCTGGAAAAAGTCACCTAATATGTCTCTAGAGATATTTGGTAATTTTACTAGTCAGCTAACATGTTTGGTTGTAAAAAAAATGTTGCACCAGGAAATTTCCATGGAAATAAAGGCAGCTGGCCCTCAGGTGACCACATTGAGTGCAGTCTATAGAAATTTAGGTCTAGCACCATTTCTCCTGTGCACCACTGGCATGATTTGGGGGGGGGGGGGGGGGGGGGGGGGGGGGGGGGGGGGGATTACCATACTTTTCTGTATATAAGATGCCCTCATATATAAGGACCCTCATATATATATATATATATATATATATATATATATATATATATATATATATATATATATATATATATATATATATTTAGAATTTTCATATTTTTATCACATTCTGTGTATAAGACGATACCAACCCCAGATCCACCCCCTTTTTCCCCAGTTTAAAACTTTAAAAAATTGTCTTATGCACAGGAAAATACAATACTTTGTAGTAAATGATCACTTGAATTGATATTTGGAACACTTATTAATCCCTTTGCTTTTGTCTGTGAAAGAAATACATTATTGTTAACAAATGTAAATTTTTTATTTACATTCCAACAAAACTAGACCGCCTGAAGACTCGTCCACTTCGGAAAAACGATAAGGCAGAGAAAGATAACGAAGATATATCAGAGAAAACAAATGATATTGATGAAGATGGCATGGAGAAGGATGCAGATGGTGCCAGAGATACTAGTCACCGGAAAGAGAAAAAAGAGAGGGTGTCTCTGTCCTTCTTTGATCGTTTGTCGACACCAAAGTTCAGCAAGAAAGATCCAGAACATGTCTCTAGAGAAACACCTGCCAAGAAAGAGAGTCCAATCATTAGGGTGAGGGTTCATGTTTTGTTGTGTTCTCGGAAATTGTCATTACAGAAACTGTATCTGTTGAATTTATGTATGCTTATAATAGAAGCTGTAGTGGAGTGTTTGGGGGAAACAATGCATGTTTGGAGAAAAATTGCACAGTTGTTTCTTTATCTATAAAGTGAAAATAAAATAACCTAGTCAGTATGCTGTGACATGCCAGCCAGAGAAAATGGGGAATTGTAGCAGTTTCAACTCAGCAATGAAATGGCATCTTTTGAAGATCTTTTACTCCATCCCCTCCCACCCTTCCTCTCTCTATTTCTCTCTCTGGCATCTCTTCCCTCTCCCCCACTCTTTTTCTGTTTCTCTCTCTCTTTCTGTCTGTGTCTCTCCCTCTCTCTCGGTGTCTGCCTGTCTCTCTCTCTGTCTCTCTATCACCATGTAGCAGGTCCTTTGCAGTACGTCGCTCTCATCACAGTCTGCCTGAAAGAAACTCGTTCTTTCACCAGTTCTCCCACCTCATGTACTTTCACACTCAAGGAGTCACTTATATCCTGTGCCCATCTTTGTGTCAGTTGGCCCCTGCCGCTCCATCCTGGTATCGTGCCTTCTGCTATAATTTTTTTAATCCGTCGTGGCGCTTGATATGACCAAAATATTTAAGCTTTCGAGAAAGGATGCTGTTTATTAGCCAATCTTCCTTGATGTTCAGATCTTTTAAGACGTCAATATTTCTCATCTTCTTTGTCCAGGATATTCTGAGAATCTTTCTATAGCATTTCAGCTCAAAAGCCCCTATTCTCTTTCTTCAGGACTGAGAGATAGTCCACGACTCACATCCGTATGTAGCCACAGGGAAGATGTATGCTCTCAAAATTCTAATTTTTATCTCCTTGCTGGTGCTTAACCATAGACTTTTAAGGCTGTTGAATCTTTGCATTGCTATGGCCATCCTCCTTTTAATTTATATCGAACAGTCTCCATTGCTGTTTATTATAGAGCCAAAGTTTGTGACATTTTCAATTTCTTCATTGTTTATTATTTTTGGGTGACAGCCAGTTTTATCTGTGGACATTATTTTCGTTTTCTTTAAATTCAAGAACAGATTTTGATCTTCACTGTACTTTTGGACAGACAAATGATGGAAAAAAGAGGAAGAAGAAGAAATGCATGTTTATTAAAATGTATTTAAGTTTTATAAGTGTATGAGGCTGGTCGACAATTCTGGTCTTTTAGACAAATTGGTCTTGTGACACTTTCTAAAATCTCTTTGAACTTGAGCTATGCTCCCACACTTCCAGTTCCTCTTTTAGATTAACTTTCTCAAAGCTTATGCCTCCTCAAGCCATTACTTCATTTAATATGTACCTTAAAAAAAAAAAATCTGTAAATTGAAGCGTGTATAGATTATATAAATAATTCAAAATTTATACATTAAGACACCCCCCCCCTCCCACTCTCTCTCTCTCTCTGTCTCTCTCTGTCTCTCTCTCTCTCTCTCTCTCTCTCTCTCTCTCTCTCTCTCTCTCTCTCTCTCTCTCTCTCTCTCTCTCTCTGTCTCTCTCTTTCTCTCTCTGTGTGTGTATGTATGTGTGTGTCTGCCCACGCGCAATTTATTTTTAATGTATTGCTATCCTTATACACTGTAGTTTAGTATAAGATGTGCATAAATATTGTACCGCTGGCTTTGTAAAACTGATGTTGTTAAATCCAGTTTCAATTTGTTCTTTAAGTCTGTTCCTTTCTGCAGAGTTAGTGTTGTCAGCTCACTGCTTGTGCATCTTTGTTGTCACTTGTACATGCTGTGATTCTTGTTTTTTTAGTTAAGACATGTCCCCAAGTGTATACACTGGGATGCATTAAAGATAAATGCTGACTACATTTATTTACACCCAAACAAATAAGCAAGCAGTTTCTGTATAAGCTGAAGATAGGATTTGAAACTGTTAAAATGTTTGTGTATACTGAAGAGGAGCGGCTGGCTGAAGGGTTAGAACGCTGAACTCTTATGCGGGAGACTTGGAAGTGATCCCCAGTCGGGGATGTGGTTTTAAAAAAAAAAATGTGTCAGGTGCAACAATAAAAATACCAGTCTGCACAGTTTCTGGTGACTGCATAAGTCTAGTCATGCAGCCTGAACAAGCCTCCGCCCAACAACCAAAATGATGCGAATGACGACTAATTCAGATATTTATGAAATTAGAAGTGGTTGGCCACAAGGTACATATATTGCAGCCTAGTTGTAAACCACAAAACAAAGTGCTTTTTAAAAATAAATGCAGAAGAAGAAGAATCAGCATGCTGCCACTGTGGCAGTGCGGATACGGTTAGTACAATTGAATATATATATATATCAGAACTGGCTAGTGTGTTTTAACTTGACATAACACAAATTTCAGGTTCAGTTTGCTGATGACAAAGATCAGGATGGAGTTATTGAGGTTATTGCCATTTGATTGCTTGTTTCTCCTTTCTCAGAGTTTCTCAAACCTGTTTGCAACAAGAGTTAATCTCTCTTGCTTAGTTTTTTTATTTTGAATTAAATTTGTAAAGGCAGTAGTTTTGAACAAAGGTCAGGAACTCTTGCCTAATTTTTATTGACATTTTGTAGGTTAGGAAAATCAAAACAAGTGTAGATAACTCTTAGATTTCATAGAGCTTCAGTATTTATATTAGTCTTTCCCTTAAACCAATTTAAGGGGTCCTTGATTTCTCCCCCCCCCCCCCCCCCCCCCCCCCCCCCCCCCCACCCCCCCCCACCCCCCCCCCCCCCCCCCCCCCCCCCCCCCCCCCCCCATCCAATATTATTTTTCTGTCTTAGACCGTCCAGGATCATTTGTCTTAGACCATCCAGGGTCATTTCTCTGTCTTAGACTATCCAGGATCATTGTTCTGTCTTAGACCATCCAGGATCATTTCTTTGTCTTAGACCATTCAGGATCATTTCTTTGTCTTAGACCATCCAGGATTATTTCGTCTTAGACTATCCAGGATCATTTCTCTGTCTTTTCTACTGCTGATCTTTCCATTAGTCCGTATTTTCTCAAGTGCATCTCTTGTACACTGTGTCTCTTTCTCCTTCTTTTCATCCTCCTCAAACTTCTTCTATGTTCTCCCTTAAAAGGAGGGTTCGTATGTTGTGTGTTCGGCTCATAAATAGGCTGGAATGTCTGCTCTTTCGGCCCAACACATCCAGATTTAGCAAACTACCAATTCCTTTTTTTTTTTCAACTACTTGCTTGTTAGGGAGCAGTGAGTCTTCCCCCCCCCCTCCCACCCCCATCCCAAAGGGTCCTGAACCCACCCAGCGTTGTCTTCTTCTTACAGTGGTGTACTTCTTTTATCAGCCTTTTCTAATTATTTCTTCGATACCCTGACTGTCATAGGTATTGACATTTTCCTTTTACGATAATTCTTGTCACTTTTGTTAACTATTTCTGTGTGTCAGTTAATCAGACGCTTTTAAAAATATATATTTATAATTGAGGATCTGGGCTAACAGTTAAGGATGCATAGCTTTTGTTTAAAAAAATTTTTTTTTTTAATCTAACAGTTTTCATAGTTAAAAAAAATATTAACTCTAGCCCCACCATTTTTCTTTTAAAGTTTTTTTGTTGGTTTTGGATATCCCTTCTAACACCTAATTTCTTTTTAGTTAAAGATTCAGCATAGATTCATCATAATGGTGTTTTAATTTTCTTTTTTTTAATCTGAAACTTTTTATTTTTTCCCACGGCTTCATCTTCTGGTTCTTCATATTCACCAACTTTAAAATCTGGCAGAAAGTTCTGGTTGTTTTCCACTTCTGGACTTTAGTCTTGTTTCCAGCACTTGAGTTTTGTTTGCATATGTTTGACAGATCTGGCTTATTTGTATGTGTACTGTTGGTTCCTTGCCTGTCAGGCAAATGCACTTCAACTTTGAAGGAAATACGCCTAATTAGTTGACTTTTACGATGGGCTTGTTAGAGATCAGTGGGTCTGTCTCCCCACACCTCCCTCCACCCCCACACACCTCCCCCCCCACCCCCCAATCCTTTGGGTAATGGAGGCCTGCAACATACACAGGGATGTTCCTGAGCTATGATGTTCATTACTGAGTTATGAACTTTACTGCAAGTTTTCAGTAATTAGTGCTGAGTTACACATTTGTAAAAGGTATAACTGTAAATATAGAAAAGCAAAGTTGTCATGTTTTGTAAAAAAAAACAGTTGTTAATGTACCAGAAAGGTTTGAGAAACTCTTGGGTTTGATGCTTCTCTTCCCTAGAATGGTTTGGGCTGGACTTTGAAAAGCTTGTGTTTGTTTAATGAAAAAATAATCAGTTTTCTTATACAGGTCATTGGGCATGCTGACAGCATCTAGATAGGGCCCACTGTTACATTACTGATCCGAAAATACCATCACTGTAGGTATATTAGAAGTAAGGTCACATTAACTAGCATGTGAATAACATAGATTATATGTATCACAAAAATAATATTACATCAATATAAAAAAAATCAATATTTAAAAAAAAAATTAATCACAAAAATAACCAAGCATTAGATGATATTTGTCACAAAAATAAAATTACATTATTTAAAAAAATTGATAGTTATCACACAGATAAAAAGATAATCATTAGCGATAACAGAAAATATTGATATCACAAAACTAACATCATCTTAATTTGCTATCACAAAAATGTTATCTGTGGTTATCAGTGCGGTCATGGTTCCAGAATTACAGATCAGGCCAGTGTTCTTGTCCTGCCCAAGCCAACCTGGTATTTATCTCACTCTCTTCCCCTTGCTCTTGTTCATCAAGTTGGCCTGTTGTCATCAAATATAAGTTTACCCCTTCTGACAAGTCCAAAGTACCTTACAAAAATAAGAGGCAGAATTTGATTTGTCTTCTCTTCTTCTTATAGCCTGTGCCACATGGCTTTGTTAACCATATATATTAACACAGTTTTGTCCTGTTTATTTTCGGTCATTTCTGATACAGATTATTTGTCTGTGCCATGATGTCAAACTGTCCAGCATCTTCTCTCTTGGTCTCCTTCTACCTCTTTTCCCCTCCAACTTTCCCACCGTCACGATTTATTCCAGTTTTCTCCTTCTCATGATGTCACCAAAAAATGTAGATTGTCACCTTTTGATGTGGATATTTAGTTTTGTTCATTAGTTAATTTCTTTGAAAACATCCTTCATTACATATTTATCTATCCGTGATGTTATCATTCGTCTGTAAAAGTATACATTTGCAGATTTGAAATGTAAATGGTCACTAATCAACTTATTGTCCATGATTCACATATTTTTGTTTTAGAGATATATTACTGGGGGAGAGAGGACCCTGCCAGTACTGGGGGTATAGTCTGCAAAAACACTGATGACTTTGCCACCAAAATTCATATACATGTATAGACTCATAATAGTGTGTGGGAATCGTGAAATTATCACACAGAATTTTGCTTACCTGCTTGAATTTTGCCTCTTTTTTTTCCTGTCGTTATTCACTTAGTTGTCTATACCCTATTCTAGTAGTTTTGAAGGTAGCTGGATTCTTGGTAACTGGATACTTTAAAGTGTGTTGTATGATGGAGAGGAAATGAGGAAGAGAATAGGAAGAAAAGAGAAACCAAATACAGAAAGGTTCACAGTATAGCTTCTGAGAAGAAGCAGATTAAATCAATTCTATGACACCCCGTGTGAGTCCCAGGGTCCTATTATAGGGAAAACAAGAATAGACCCACTGCCTACTCAAAAGCCTGTCGTAAGAATCAACTAATTGGGACCTTCCTTTGAAGTTGGAGTGCATCTGCCTGAGAGACAAGGAACCAGCAGTCTGCATACAAATGAGTCAGATCTGTAAAATGGATGCACATGCAACACTCAGGTTCTGGAACAGGACTGCAGTCGAAAAGTGGATGAACAACCAGAACTTTCCGCCACAGTTTACAGCTGGTGAACGCGAAGAAAAAGATGAAGAAGAAGACGAATTCTATGACAACAGTAGTCGTGAGCAAAACTTTTCGCCAAGAGAAACACCAGTGCAAGCCAAACGTTACGGGTCACTAAGTGAATTACAACAGACAGTGAAGTTCATACTAGAGATAACATTACAGATGTAGATAATCTATTTCAAGTGATAAAAAGAAGAAGTAGAAGTAGTCCTGAAATCCCCTTCTCTAATTGTGCAAGAGGCCCAGTATGGCATATTTTCTGAAAAATCATTGGGTAAAATCTACTACCAGTGTATAAGACGCACACAGTTTTTAGACCCTATATATTTGTAAAAAAAAAAAAAAAAGTATTTTATACTGGAGGAAATCATGTATCTGTGTGCACTGTGATGGTTGCATCTTGTGACATGCATGGAAGCAGCTATTCATTCTGCTGCACAAAACAGCCAGATGTACACTTGTGTTCTTGTCCATAGTTAGCACACACTAGTATATTTGTGCATGGTTGTATTTTTGATTGTGCATCACATTTCCACAGTTGAGAATTACAATTCTTTTCTTCCATAAATGATTTATATCATAATAGAATATGTAGCTTTTAATCCTTTACTGGTCTATTTTCTCTCTGAAAGAAAAAATTGCTTGAGTAAATAATTATATATGAGCACTACACACACAACATACTCAAGCACACATGCTCTCTCACACACACACACACTCTCTCTCCTCTCTCTCTCTCTCTCTCTCTCTCTCTCTCTCTCTCTCTCTTCTCTCTCTCTCTCTCTCTCTCTCTCTCTCTCTCTCTCTCTCTCTCTCTCTCTCTCTCTCTCTCTCTATATATATATATATATATATATATATAACATAGGAAATTACACACATTTAGTGATGTTTATGCTTTTAATTATCAGCAGAAGTATAATAAGATGTTTTAGCTCAGTTTAGTAAAAAATTGATATTTTACTAATTAATAGTATTATTTATGTAAACTGGTAATCTGTAAATATGTTTTCTTTGCTGAACTGTTTGTTAATTTAATTGTTTATGTTGTTGCTAACTATCCGAAACCTGTGCACGTTTTTTACATTGTGCCCCCCCCCCCCCCCCCCTGTCTTCTTTTTTCTTCTTCTGGTATCTTACCCTTGTCTCTAAGTAGTAAGATCAGACGCCCATGTGTATTGTTGCGCACTTTAAAAAATGTCTTGGCAGTTGGAAATAGAAAAGAGTAACCTAGCGGCGCTGCTAAGGCAAAATGTGTGGATTTAAAAATCTACCCAAAGTATTTCAGGATCCTCAGCGGTGCTACAGAGGTCGTGCACTGTGCTAAGATTCTTTGAACTCGGGCTTGAGTTAGAAGTAGAACAGAGTACTAATGAGTTACTACCCTTCTGCCATAATGTTGATCCGTTGTTTAAACCTAAACCAAAGCCAAACCTAAATCTTCTTTTTCTCCTCCTCCTCCTTCTTCTCCTCTTCCTCCTCCTCCTTTTTCTATTCCCTGCCGTATTGCATAGGTAGTCATATCTGTCCCCATACCTATATTTTGTATATATTCACACATTTCTAGCACAAATGTTAAAGCCTCCAGCATTTTGCTGATGTTTTAATTTGATTGATTGGCTTATTTTTGTCACTGAAGACACAGAAACTTTCCCAGCAGAAAGCCCACTCCACCACCAGTCTGGATATGCTGAGAAAGGTTTGCCTTTGGGTTTCCCCCCTTGGCTGTTGGCATCCTCATTCATTAAACATTGCCATTCTTACAAACTAAGCACATGTAGTTTTTTGACACTGCACACATCTCAAAAATAGTGTGCATATGCTGTTTCAATATTTCACAAATCTGAGCCAGCCAGAAATATCAAATATTGTTTTGATTGTTTGTGAATCAGAAATAATACCATCAGATGTCGTATTTTGATATTTCATACCAGAGTTGGTAGTATCAGGCGAATTTTGTTATTTTTAAATTGTGTTTAAAATATTTTACATATTCAAATCATAAGTATCAAACTGTAGTTTCCAGGCAAGAAGAAGAAGTTACCGACAAAAAAAAATCTTTAAAAACTGAAAGTGAGAGTAAGTTACACTACACTAATCACTGCAAAAGTCTTGAATGTAAAGAAACGTCGCTGCAAATAAATCTCAAACATCGAAGGTGAATAGGGACAAGATCTTTGGATCAGGGGTCGTTGAAACCGCTGGAAAATGCCTCTGAGTGCCCTGGGAAACCAACTGGAAAGGCTAATTAGGAAAACAAATTCCTAGAGGAGTTGGATGCATTGGCCGAAAGGCACAAACAACTGTCAACAGGTACTATGTATTAATGTCGCTTGGATAAAGTGCGATGAAGAAGATGAGGAAAATTTGAGTAGGTTTCCTGCCTGGCAGTAACCAGTGAAAAGAGATTTTAAACAGAAAATGGAAACATTTGAGTAAATATGACTGCACTACTCATAGCAATCATGAACATAGATCATGAATAAGTTTCAGTGCACTAATAATAGAAATCTGGAATATAGAGCATGAATAGTAACCTAGCAAAAACATAATACAAACACAACATTTGTATTAACAGTAGGTAATCGTTAGGGTGAAACTGTGTGTACAATGGCAGTGTTAAGAAAGATTGATCCCGCAGCTCATAACTCATACAGATATTCTGAATACTCTAAGATAATACATAATGCTTGTACTAATGGGGGTTTTCTTCGGTCACTTTCTGTGTTAACACCATTTTCTCTCCTAGGCATTGTTACTTTAACTTTATCTGTCCTAGGGAGTTTTTTAAAATCTTCAGGCTGTTATTGTTTGTGACATTTTTTACCAGAGGTGTCCTTATCTGCCTTCTTCCTCGGGTGGGATCCGAGGGCTACCTCTTGAACAAGCACATCATAGAAGGAGAAAAGATGACTTATTATGGGTGTTTCTTTTGAAGTTGCAGTGCATCTGCTCGAGAGGCAAGGAACCAACAGTCTGCATACAAATAAACCTGGTCCTTAGGACAGGTGTGCACTAAAACTCAAGTTCTAGAACAAGCTCCAAGTCCTGCATTGGACAAGTTCACAGCTGCTGAACACTGAGATGAAAATCTGTTGTTAAAAAATGACAAAAGTAAACATAGCCTACGGGCATATGATGCTAGACACATGTTTTTATAGGCCGATCAGCACTTGCCAGATGACGTGGTCAACATCATGCCGGCCACCTTTACTTCCCAGAAATTTACCTGGTACCGATTGTAGGCTGGGTCGACCTGAGAGCCAAGGTCACATTTCAGGAGGAAAAAGAAAAGGCCAGCTACTTCCTGACAAGTATGTCAGGTTTCATTGAAATCAGGTGTGTTTTGTGCTGAAAGGAATCAACAACACAGCCTAGCTGTGAGCTACAACTGAATGTGCGAGCTGCCCCTTTAAGGGTGAATGTAGACGAAGAAGAAGAAGAACTGACAATACACAATGAGCGAATGCAATAGTTGTCTGCAATAGAAGAAAACACAATCAAGATATGATGCATTGCTTGGTATCTGAGAGTTATTAATCTAATCAAGGTATCCTTATTTTTGCAAAGAATGATAAATCTGCAGCATTCTAGGACTTGCTTTGATTTGAACAATGATGTATGTAAATTCTTCCAGTCCATATATTTGTTTTACACCCCCCCCCCACACACACACACACACACACACACACACCCCACCCCACTTTAGTTTGTAACTAGAAGTTACTCTTAATTTACTGCTCAGAGCATGTTGGTTGGTTTGTTATATTTAACGTTTTATGGAAACTAATTTACTAATTATTAACATGCTTACAGTTACTTTTGCTTTAGTTTATATTCCTGAAAGGTTTTCCTGATAATCACTTCAACCTTTCTGCTTTTAACCTCTTACCCTGCTTTCTTCTATGGAAAACATACATTATTTGCATGTTCTTAGTAAAAGAGTTATGTCCTGATTGTTCTATTATGGTCTCATATGTGAATCTTTGTGACGAGTATCCCTAGGAAAGTCCAGTATTATAGGGGTATTACGGTTCTAAATGTAAAATTGGACTTTCTCAGAGATTCCAGGGTGTTCCCTGTTTGGGGTGAGCCCAAATTAAAGTACCCAAAAATCATAGGAAAAATAATATTTTCGGTTCTTGATAATTGTTTTGACAGCATACAAACCTGTAATTTCCATTGATCGCATTACAGAATGTTTATTTAATCATAACAACATGGAATTATTTATTGACATGTATGGATGTTTGTTTCACTTGATTACATTGACATGTATGGATGTTTGTTTCACTTGCTTACATTGACATGTATGGGTGTTTGTTTCACTTGCTTACATTGACATGTATGGATGTTTGTTTCACTTGCTTACATTGACATGTATGGATGTTTGTTTCACTTGCTTACATTGACATGTATGGGTGTTCGTTTCACTTGCTTACATTGACATGTATGGATGCTCATTTCACTTGCTTACATTGACATGAATGGGTGCTCATTTCACTTGCTTACATTTACATGTATGGGTGTTCGTTGTACTTGCTTACATTGACATGTATGGGTGTTCATTTCATTTGCTTACATAGCTGGAGCTTAGCTGCTGCTTATCGGCTTGTACAGTTGTTTGTTTTAGATGATGTAAATCAATTTTTCCAAACCTTTTTGTGGGTGTGCTATGTCCCACCTATACCTTTCCAAAATAATAATAGACCCACTGACCCTTAATAATTATAAAAGGCGTCTAATTAAGGGGTTTACTTCAAAGTCAAAGTGCATCTGCCTGAGAGGTGAAAATCAACAGTCTGCATGCAAATAATCCAGATCTGTAAAACGAATGTGCATACAAAATTCAAGTTCTAGAATGAGACCAAAGTCCAGAAGTGGACGAACAACCAGAACTTTCTTCCTGAGTTCACAGCTCCTGAACACAAAGAGGAAGAGTTGAGGGCCTTTGCTGTAATGAGGGATAATTGGAAGAAGGAGGAAAACTTATATTTGTAACTCACAGGCTTGGAGACAGCAGTAATTACATGTGGTATGTAACTATCATAGTTTCCTACACCCAAACTTGCAGTTATTGTAGAGAACTACCTCTTAAAAGATAGCTTTTGAAACATTTACATAACTTCTTCTTGCTTTATTATGACTGTTTTAAAAATATCAGGTAGAAAGATTCAGTATTGTTTCTCATTCGATAGAGGTCAATAGTACGAGAAAAGCCGTCTGCATCACATGCCAAGGAATCAACCCCTAAGCATGCCCTGCCTAAAGACACTCACCGTGCTCCATCATCAGCTGCAGCTGGCAGGTCTGTTTCGCCTGGCAGGAAGGAAGCTGAGAAACCTGCAGCCAGGATACCATCTCCGGGTCGTAAGGGAGGTGATAAACCCAGTACTCCGGTGCCACATGTGACCCCGCCTCCCACAGCAACCTCTCCACCACCAGGACCTGTCGATTCTACGCCCACTCCAGCACCTACTGTGTCCAGTACAAGCACCACACCCTCGCAGTCATTGGTTACCTCCATCATAGAAGATGGGACAACTTCCCGTAGCTCTGGAGGGTCTGCACAAGACATAACTGCAGAAGAGTACAAGGCTCGTCTTGCTGAGAAACGGAGACAGGCTAGAGAGAGAGTTGAAAAGGAGGCTGAAGAAGAGCGAAGGCGGCAAGAGGAGGCCAGGTAAGCATTTCTTCTTCTTCTTCACTTCCTTTTACCACTTTGGATGTAAAGGGAGATACGGCAGTTGAGTTAAACATATGTCTTGATTCCTCCCCTCCCCCCTCCTTAAAAAAAAAGTTTTACACATTTTGTTTGTGGGAACAGCTTTAGTAGAGTTTACTCTCTAGACAGTTGCAGATCCCTGCTGATGAGATTCTGTTTGCCGGGACAGTGTGCCACCACGATCACAAAATTGCAAAAAACAGCTTTGTCGAGGCTGCCAATTATATGGGTCATATCCTGCAGCATCATAGCACATCCACAGGACAGGCGGGTGCCACGAACAACACATAGTAGCCTGCGATGAAAGTGTGCACAAAATAGCAGACCTTGGTAAAGGACAATTCGAGGGAATTCACAGCATCAAAAATAACACGGCCGCTAGCCGTCATTTTGAAAGCTCGAGAAGGTGGGGGGGGGCTGCTTCTTCCACTTCTGGCCGCTCTAGCCATAGTCACACCATGCTGTTGTAAAGTTTCTCTGATGACAGGTAAACATATGTTTTGCTTAAACTGATAAATTCATTCCCTGTGCATGAGAAATAAGAGGAGAGCTGTTGTTTCATCCGAAGATGCAGAATTACTAATTATGTTCTTATAAATTTCATAGTTACGACTGCCTGTAATAAGTTGATAGTTTTGAAAATAAAAAGGTATATTTCACACATTTGGCATATGATCTTCAGGAATCATTTTTATAAGCAGAATTTGCTTTGTGCCTGTCAGTAACAGCTGCAGTGTTGTGCGTGTGGGTGGGTGTAGGTTGGGCAAAGGAGCATAAAGGCTAGCCTTGCCGGGTAGTTTCCAAGAACATTTCACAGTCTCAAGGTCGTGACAGAATCTGCATCCATTCCATTCATCCACAGTTAAGTTTCAATAACCAACATCACAGCACTCGGGACAATCGTGTAAGAGCTACGTCCGGTAGTCTGTGAAGACTTCCAACTCCCATAGCACCAGTACCAGCCTGGTTGTATGTTCGTCTTGCCTTTCCTCTGAGTTTTGAGCGTCGACCAGATCCCGGGGTTCTGTTTTGCGCATTTAATGTATTCAGTATTAAGATGCATGAGCATTATTCTGACAACACAGTGTATTTTTTCCTTTTTTGATTAGGTTGGCGGATGAGGAAAGAATACTAAGGGAAGAGGAAGAAGATAGAAGATTAGAGGAAGAGGCTGAGGTGGCAAGAAAGGCAGAGCGGGAGAGATTGGAGAAAGCCATTGAGGCAGAAGAGAAGCGCAGAAAAGAGGAGGCAGAGAAGATGGTACAAGAGAAGAAAATTGTGAGTAGTTTTTGTTTTTAATACTGTTTCCATTATTGTTACTAACTGATACTCATTTGTTACTGAATGCCACTTTTCAAGAGGGAATGAGGCATAGCTAAAGTGGAGCAGTTGTGAATGAGTTATTACATCACCATGTTGAGTGTTCTCGGAAAGTAAAATGCACCCGGCTCTAGTAGACCTGAGTGCGGCATCTTTGACATGGAAAACTGCACTGAAGATTGCACAGGACAGAAAAGCATGGAAAGTCCTCTCTGAAGCCTTATGTGCCATTAGGCACAACGAGAACTGATGATGTTGAGTGTTGCTGTTTTACTATGATCATACTGTTTTGTATAAATGTTTTGTTTTTTGCTTTCTTACAACCTAGTTACTTCCAGTACCATTTTCTGTGATATTACCTTATCTCCTTCACTTCCTCTGTTACCACTTCAGATGTTGAGGAAGATACAAGTTTCTTGTTCTGACTCTTACAGTCGCATCATACTGTTGTAGAGTTTTGGTGATGTTATCTCTGCACTTAGTTCTTGTTCTGCCTCTTGATGTGCATCTCTGTCCTCATTTTGTATATCCTTGTATTAATGATTTTTACCTAATGATATTGTTTTTCCTCAGAAAGAGGAGGCGGATAAAAAAGCCAAAGAGGAGGCTGAGCGACTGGAAAAAGAAAAGCAAGAACGGGCAAAAAAAGAAGAAGAAGAAAGACTTCAAAGGAAGAAAGTGAGTGGAAGCTATTTTTTTTTATCTACCTTGTAAGACAGGTATTGTTGTTTGTTTGGCTGAAATACTGTGTTCTTTGGACAAGCAGACATAATAATTAATGAATTCTTAGCAAAAAACTCACGGATGAAAGACAAAAGTAATAAGAATCAAAACAAAACATTGAATCATTGCCTCTAATGAAACTACACTTTTGAAAAACTGAATAATTTATGCTGATGTCTGCCCTAGTGCAGTGTGTCTATACTGGTGCAGTGTGTCTATACTGGTGCAGTGTGTCTATACTGGTGCAGTGTGTCTATACTAGTGCAGTGTGCCTATACTGGTGCAGTGTGTCTATACTAGTGCAGTGTGTCTATACTAGTGCAGTGTGTCTATACTAGTACAGTGTGTCTGTACTAGTGCAGTGTGCCTGTACTGGTGCAGTGTGTCTATACTGGTGCAGTGTGTCTATACTGGTGCAGTGTGCCTATACTGGTGCAGTGTGTCTATACTGGTGCAGTGTGTCTATACTAGTACAGTGTGTCTATACTAGTGCAGTGTGCCTATACTGGTGCAGTGTGTCTATACTGGTGCAGTGTGCCTATACTGGTGCAGTGTGTCTATACTGGTGCAGTGTGCCTATACTGGTGCAGTGTGTCTATACTGGTGCAGTGTGTCTATACTGGTGCAGTGTGTCTATACTGGTGCAGTGTGTCTATACTGGTGCAGTGTGCCTATACTGGTGCAGTGTGCCTATACTGGTGCAGTGTGCCTATACTGGTGCAGTGTGTCTATACTGGTGCAGTGTGCCTATACTGGTGCAGTGTGTCTATACTGGTGCAGTGTGCCTATACTGGTGCAGTGTGCCTATACTGGTGCAGTGTGCCTATACTGGTGCAGTGTGCCTATACTGGTGCAGTGTGCCTATACTGGTGCAGTGTGTCTATACTGGTGCAGTGTGCCTATACTGGTGCAGTGTGCCTATACTGGTGCAGTGTGCCTATACTGGTGCAGTGTGTCTATACTGGTGCAGCTGTGCCTATACTGGTGCAGTGTGCCTATACTGGTGCAGTGTGCCTATACTGGTGCAGTGTGCCTATACTGGTGCAGTGTGCCTATACTGGTGCAGTGTGCCTATACTGGTGCAGTGTGCCTATACTGGTGCAGTGTGCCTATACTGGTGCAGTGTGCCTATACTGGTGCAGTGTGCCTATACTGGTGCAGTGTGCCTATACTGGTGCAGTGTGCCTATACTGGTGCAGTGTGCCTATACTGGTGCAGTGTGCCTATACTAGTGCAGTGTGCCTATACTAGTGCAGTTCTGCCTCTTCCACTCTGTGATAGTACAAGGGAAAGCCAGTAAGTTAGTCACAAATGGTTATGGGATGGCAGGAAAATGTTGTTGGTGGTTTCTAAAGGTGTCATTAGGTGATAGCAACATTGAACTTTATGTCTCCGTTCATTAGGTGGCACTAGGTGTTGCATGCACAGCAACCGAATGGCGACTGTACTTATGGAGTGTACCCTCAGACCACAACATGCTGCTGTGCAGTTTTTTTGGGGGGAGGGGCAAAACGGCTGCCTGTAAAGGATATTCATAAGGATAAATCACTACCAGCTCAAATCAAAGCTCGCTTCAATGCAATGGAAGCATCCTTCTTCGCCTTGTGTTCAAGGTTACACCATCAGAAGGGAAGGTTATGCTGACAGTGCTCTGGGAATTTCAAGGGGTGCTTCTAACCAATAAAAAAAAAAATGAAGTGACAGTGTAAATGCTGATTTGTACTGTAAAGTTCTATCGATGCTTCATGGTGCAAATTCGAAGAAAACGTCCAGGCCTGTTAACTAGAGTACTGCTTCTTCATGACAATGCGAGACTGCATACGGCTCGGTTAACTCTGGAGAAAATTAACCCTCTAGGGTTTGAACTTCTGGAACATCTACCTTACAGCCCTGACTTAACCCCTAGTGATTTCCACCTTTTTAGTCCTCTGAAAACCCACCTTGGCAGGAGACATTCTGCAAATGATGCAGAAGTTGAATGTGAAGTGAAAATGTGTTTTTAGAAAAACAGCACGCAGCTCTGTGCAGCAGGTTTTGGGGGACTGATGACTAGGTGGAAATTTTGTTGAAAAATAAATGGACAGTGTGTGTGTAAAAATAAATGGTTTTCAAGTTAATCTTTTTTTTTCTTCTTTCAAAGTTTGTGTGATTTACTTATTGACTTCCCCTCGTATATGCAATTGAAATACTATAACCTTCACACAGGTCAGGGAAAATTCATGTAAACTACTGGAACTGGGGACTTAAATCTCTTGAAATGGTAGGATTCTTCCTTGACCCAAAATAGAAGTAGAACTGATATCAAGAAGTACGAAATACAACACAAACTGACTAGAACGCTCAATGGAGGGAATGTAAAGGACATACACAAGTACAACGAATGTTTCAAAAGCTTTATGTATTTGTGCTTTCTTCTTCTTCAGCATTCTGAGCCCTTAAGGTTCATTGCTGTATGTATCAGCTGCCTCCATTCATCTCTGTCGTTGGCCTTTTCATTTGGTTACACCAAGTGTTTGTAGGTCTGCCTGGATGTTATCTCCATCGTCTTCTTGGTCTGCCTTGTGTTCTACGGCCATTTAACTCCCTTATGCACAGTTTTTACCTCGCTGTCATCTGACATACTTTCATTATGCCCCAGCCATTTCAGTCTATAAGCTCTCTAAATGGAAATGATCAGTTGTGATTTAAGCAAATTATGTATTTAATTGTTGCTTCTCTCTTTTCATTACCAGCTGTTTGCATCTTTGATGAGCCCAAAGATTCGTCATAAGACTTTAAAAAAAAATATGCAGTAAGGCTTCATCTTTTTTTAGTTGAGCTTTCTGATCACAGTTTGTATTGTACTTGATCAGTGTGCCTCAGGGGTCAGCTAGCTTCATACGGTGGCTACCAGATGGCTTTAAGAACTATATAGGTATTGATTACTGAGTTGATCACCCCACCTTGTTATAATGTGACTTAATATATGTTCCCCTTTTAAACTCATTGTAATTCTCTGTCTACAGAAATTAGAGATGATTATGAAGAGAGTCAAGACAGATCCCACCACAGAGACTCCACCGAAGGCAGAGAGTCCAACTAAGTCTCTCAGCAGCTCAGTCAACTTAAGTCAGCTCGACTCATCCCAGAATTCTCCTGTAGAGCATGAGAAGCCAGTAACCGCTGCTGAAAGTTCAGATGAAGACAGTCAAGCTTTGGCTGTGGCTGAGGGGTCAGCTGTAGAGATGTACGGTGCGGATATGACCACGTCCTTCATGCAAGACTTGGAGACTTCAACTGCTTTGTCCACATCAGTTACAGGTGTGCTGGGCATCTCATCCACCCATAGTGAGGGTCTGGACAGCAATGCAGAAGTGGGGCAGTTGGTTGCTGTTGCATCAGCAACACCCTCAGCAAGGGAAGAAACAGTACACTCTCCAGAACCTGAAGCAAGGTCAAAGTTCAGGTCGCCACTTTTGCAACAGTTAGTAGAGAACAAGGGAGGCACCACACCTTCAGGAGGTCCAAAGTTTAAATCTCCACTGCTACAGAATCTTCTGGGTAAAACCAAAGTTGGTGCCCGGATGGGCCTGTCATCAAGCACTAGTGACCTCATCAGTAAAGACTCAGCCTCTGCTGTTGATGAAAGTGGCTCATCAAAAGAGAGCCATAATCTTGGGAAAGATGAGGATAAAGATGAGGACACAGCTGCTGATGAAGCTTCGGAAGTTAGACAGGAACCAGAGTCTTTCGAACATTTTTCAATGACCAACGGTATTGGAAAAGATTCAGGTGATGGACATTTTTCAGCCATCAGTTCTAAATCATTTGATTCCTCACCTTCTGAAGCCACCAAGTTGCCCATGGGGGATTCTGCTTTGGGCTCCAGCATCGAACCCCATGGGGAAGGCATGATGTCACAGTCAATCATTTTCAATGGTCATGGGGATCATAAACGCCAAGGCATGGAAGATTCCAGGTAAGTCTGTGTACGCGTTCATGTCATTGGCACTATGCCACAGTCACTTAAGGGCTGAATCTATATTAATTTTCCGGTGTCGTTAGCTCTAAACTCAGAAACTACTGAACCGATTGCTTTCAAATTTTCACACAATGTTGCCTTTTACTCAAAGCATTATTTTTTGTCATAAAATCGCACAAACCACGAAGGATGTAGCTCTAGCAACGGTCAAATCATTATTTGTTTCGTTCGCCACCCAGATTTATTTTTAATGAATTGGCCACCTTTGACTATGCAGCACCGACCTTCACATTATTATTATATACTTTCATTTCTACTAAAGGCTTGAGTATTCAGTAGCGTAGTTAGTTGTAAGCATTTCGCTTATTTTACTCAGGTGATAGGGGTTCGATTCCCCGCTGGGGGAATATAAATTTTTTGGGGGGGAGCCCCTAACTGGGTGGCTGCCACGTTTTGTCGTGGTTGATAGCTAGGCTGCAGCATCTACGCTTTTTCCCCGTTAGATTTTGGGGTTTACAGCTAGCCTGCGATAGCGGCGATGTGATGCTCAATGTTCATGTCACGGGTAATATTCGTTCGCCCTTGAGAGGGCGGTTGGCACGTTGTGTTGTGGTTTACAGCTAGGCTGTGATATCTGACCTAAAGTCTTCAGTCTTAGGTAGTAGAGTTGTAAGTATTCTGCCCTTCACGTGTATAACTAGTGTTCGATTCCCCGCTGGGTACTAATTTTTCTTTGTACCCCAAAGGGCCGGTTGGCATGTTGTGTTGTGGTTAAACAGTCTGTCGGGACAGCATGTGGCGCCAACTCCTCTGGCTACAACGACATGTACAGACAGTAATTACCGTTTTGTGTTGTCAAGGGGGGGGGGGGGGGGGGGGGGGGTGATGCCAGACACTGTTAACTGAGAGAGCTTAAAACACTTTTTTTACATTTCTCATTTCTTAACTATTTCTATTTTAACAATGTTGCCACGTAATAATGTTTCAATCATTCGGAGAGAGAGATATAATTGAGCAGATGCTTGAGTCCTTGGTAGCGCAGTTGTTTATTTTGTGTGTTACGTGGGTGACTGGCGATCATTGCCTGGCGATCATTGCCCCGCTAGGTGATAAAAAAAAAATTTTTACCTTTAAGCGCCTGGCACGTTGTGTTGTGGTTTACAGCTAGGCTGCGATATCTACGTCTTCTTTCCGCTCGATTTGGGGGTTTACAGCTTGCCTGCGATAGCGGCGACGAGATGTTGGTCATGTCACCGGTAATCTTCGTTCACCTTTGAGAGGGCGGTTGGAACGTTGTGTTGTGGTTTACAGCTAGGCTGCGATATCGAACCCAATCTCTTCAGTCTTAGGTAGTATATTTGTACGTATTCTGCCCTTCATGCGGTTGACCGGTGTTCAATTACCCACTGGGTGCTAATTTTTTTTCCCCCTCAAGAGGGCTGTTGACATGTTGTGTTGTCATTTACAGCTAGGCTGCAATATCTGCAACTTTCGCCCAAAGACATCTGATTTCATCAAAGTCCCATTTATCCTCCCCGCGACGCTTCACTCGATAATAAACTATTCGTAGATGACAGAAGCTGTTAACTAAGACTGCTTACAGTCCAGTTTACTTTGGGTGGACACGGATGCCAAGGTCATTTAACATTCGTCCCTTCGGAGAGGGGAGATGATGGGTGGGGGTTTTTATTTTCGCTATTTGTGAGTATAGAACGGACTATTACAGTTGTTTTTTTTCTTTCTTTTTCTTTGTTGGGAGCTCAATTGCACTAAACAGTCCATGGCGACATCATGCAGCGCTAACCCCTCTGGCTACACCGACCTGCACACGCAGTAGTGACTGTTTTTTGTTTTTGTTCTGAAGGTGGTGGTGGTAGTGGTAGCAGTAGTACTGTTGCTGGATGGGTGATGTGGTAGCTGTTACACTGGCCACTTTTACTTCTCATTACACTTTAATGCTATCCATCTGTCTCTGGGTGGACACGGATGCAAAGCTCAGTTCAGTTACAATATTTAGTCAGATGATGACTTTCCCATCCTTCGGCGAGGATGATATGATTATGAGGGGGAGGGGGGTTGGTGGCAGACACTGTTAACTGAGAGAGTTTAAAACATTATTTTAAAATTATCATTTCTTAACTATTTCTATTTTAATAATTTCGCCAAGTGATGATTTTTTTATTCCGTCGTCGGAGAGGGAGATATGACTGGGTGGAGGGGAGAGGGACGGGGGTTGAGGGTTATGACAGACACTGTTAGTTGAGAGCTACTTTCTTTCTTTTCCATTTCACCATTCAGGGCCACAGCAACGCGTGGCAGGGCACAGCTAGTATATATATATATATTCTCAGTGCTTCATCGATATTTCTGCCGCATGCCATGATCATAGCCAGGATGTCTTTGTTGTCCTTCTGTTCACTGTCCATTTGAGAATATTGAGTGTGCTGAGATATACACTAGAAGTTAATCTTCATGGAAAAGATATAGTGATACCAGGTGTGGTGAAACAAACTGGCAGTTGAGTTCCTTAGGAAATGTATGCGAAAAAATGGGCTACCTCTGTCTCTTTTTCAAAATCTGTGCCTTCCATTACTTCTCTTTCTAAGCCACTTCTCCTTTTTATTATTATTATTATTCCTCTTCTTTCTTCCTTCTGTTTTTTCCTCTACTTCCTTCTGTTCTTCTTCCTCCTCTCCTTCTTCTTTGTTGGGGGGGGAGTGGAAATTGGTGCTTTTTGTTGTTTACAGCTGGACTACAATATCTGCACATTTTGGCACAACACCCCAATTGCAGCAAACCCTACTTTGCCACATTTCTTGTTTTTCTTTGTGTATTAGGTTTTCCTTCATGTTTCTGCTCCGTACAGCAGTACTGATTTGACATTAGAGTTAAAAATGTTGCATTCATTATGACTTTATTAATTTCTTTTGACTTACACAAATTTCCTAGTGCTGTGAAAACTTCTCTTGCCTTTTGTATGGATCTTTTAAAATCTCTCTGTCAGTTCCCCCATATTTGTCTACATTACTGCCCAAATAGGTGTGTGACTCTACATCTTTGAGTGGAATATCATTAAGAGAAATTAGATTACGTTTGGCCTAGTTTATTATCATTATCTTTGTCATTCCCTTATGGATTTTTAAACCTTAAGTGTTGTGTTCTTGCATCGTCCACACGAGAACACATTTTGTTTTTAAATTACTGTTTTTATTCAATTAACCAACATAATTTGTGAATAATTGTTGTGTTTGTTTATGATCAACAGCATATATAGTACTGTTGTGTTTTTCCATTTTGCCATCCATTTTACCAATGAAATTTGTATAGCACTGTTGTGTGTGTCCATTCTATCAATAGATTTTATACAAGACATTTCGGTTTGTCCATTTTACCAACAGAATGTGTATAGCACTGTAGTGTTTGTCCCTTTTACCAACAGGACATTTATAGCACTGTTGTGTTTGTCCATTTTACCAACAGCACTGTTGTATTTGTCCATTATACCAACACGGATTATATGGCACTGTTGTGTTTTTCCATTTTACCAACAGGACACATATAGTGTTTGTCCATTTTACCAACAGCACTGTTGTATTTGTGCCATTATATGGCACTGTTGTGTTTTGTCAATTTGACCAACAGGACACATATAGCACTGTTGTGTTTTGTCAATTTTACGAGCAGTACACATATAGCACTGTTGTGTTTGTCAATTTCACAAGCAGGACACATATAGCACTGTTGTATTTGTCCATGATACCAACAGGCATTAAAGCATTGTTGTGTGTTACCATTTTGCCAGTGGAGCTTATACAACACTTCTGTGTTTGTCCTAGTGGATCTGGTGATAATTTTAACAGGATGGTTATGTTGGTTTGAATAATTGTTCACGCTGTTTGCTTGGAAGTCGAGAATTTGATTGGATCCGTAAAGTCAGCTGCTGTTGTGGTGGTTATTTCAGCAGGTGTCCCATCTGCTACTGCTTCTGTTGTAGATGCAATAGTACTAGTTGATGGTGCTATGGGTAGATTTGCTGCTGTTTCTGTTGTTGCTGCTGTAGAACTAGTTGAAGCTGCTGCTGGTAGACTTCCAGCTGTTGTTGTAGTTGTAGCACTAGTAGCTGTTGGCAGAGTTGCTGCAGCTGATTCTGTTGTTCTAGCAGCACTAGTTGATGGTACAATTGGCAGAGATATTGCTACTACTTCTGTTGTTGCTGAAGTATTATTCATCGATTGCGTCTCTGCATCAGATTCTCGTACATTATATTCGGACAAGAAGGAATCACTTCTTTCGGACCGAGTTTCAAAAATGGTCTCGAAGATAACCTGAGCATTTGAATGTCGATCAGATAATGGACAAGTTCTGTTTGATGAATCCAGAGGTCGTCTGCTAGTTGTTGTTGGGGTGGATGTAGGAATGATGTCGCTTTGAGAACTTTCTGTGATGTCTTTAAGCATGCTAGGGAGAATCACAGGCTTGATAATCTCATCGTACTCAGGAAGACCTAGTATCCGGCACAGGCTGTTATACGATGATGTGTTATTATCGTATGATGGTGGGGGAATGGGATTCTCTCCGTGCAGTGGGCATATTGTGATGTTACCAGTTGGTGTTTCTGAGTACGCCGGTACATCATCACTATCTGTCGTTTCGTTTGGTAAATAGTAGCAAGAACATCTGACCGACGCAGTATCATATTCGATTGAACTAGTTGATGTCCTCCTAAGAATGGACATCAGAGATATTGAGGAGTCTCGGCGTTGGGAGTTGAATGACATCAGGGAAATGGATGAGTCTCTTCGCTGAGGTGTGTGCGCACCATTAGATATCATTTGAATTGGCAGCCGCTCGATGCTCTGTCGTCTCTCTCTCTCTGGCTCTGTTTCTTCTCGTGTTCTAAATCCAAAGATTGAAGGCCGGCGTGTCCTCTGTGAAGTCTGAGAACTTTGTGTTGTGCTGGCCACTTGGCCTGGCTGTGGGAGACTGAGAATTTGTCC